CCATTTTTAAAAATTATAATATCGAAAAAATATATACTATTATAACGCATTTTTTTCGAAATTAAAATATTAAAAACGCCAGGATTCGAATCACTTTTAGACATTCAAATCCGGTTTCGCGAAACAAATGCAAGGGATTAAGGATCTTGTCAAAAATAAGCAATATATCAGGGTTTTCTAATATTGAACTCCGTGACAGAGAATCTGAGAAAGAGTGTCAACCACTTAGGGGTTCGCGTAGGAAGTGTCCAGTATGCTGCCACAGACACTCGACCAAATCTTTCAGCAAAATTCAGTTTAATCCAAGCCAAAATCAATCAACCATGTGTGAAAGACCTATTGGAAGCCAATCGTTTACTTCATGAAGCCAAAGTTCACGGATGTGCCAGCCAAAAGGACGCTGCATCATTCATGACGTGGATGAAGTTTTGCGGGCCAGAGCAGACAAGCGATCAAAGAAAGCATGGATGAGTCATGTTGCAGCTCCCTCGGAAGTTGCCAATACTTGCCAATTAAATCAGTGTACAGTTTTTGAAGAACACAAAACACACTTGGAAAACATTTTTTGACGAGTGTGATGTGCAACATGTGCAATCTCCAATGGGAGGTTCACTGGAACACTTTCATCTGCGATTGCCGGACTAGGCTCAGATGCCCAGGGGGTTGTGGCACTTGGAGAAAAGGTCTGTGTCGTTGACCGAGCCATAGGTGGGACAGGGTCCCCCTTGGAGTTCAATAGGATCCGGAGGTCCTTACAACTATCTACATCAGGTCAGGCGGCCTCATCCAATTCAATCCTGATTCATTTGGTCTTGGGAAGACCTACTGCTTTGGTTTGAGAAGATCGCTACCAATCCAACAATATATATATATATGTATTATATTATTATATATTGATTTATTTATTTTTAGCCAAAAGATGACCAAGGTCCGTACATATTTGCGCATTGATCCTGCAAGGTCGGTAGGCAAGGGCTTTGATTCTTGTATTGTATTGATTTCAGCGATGCAATTTTCCAAAAGTAGTCCTGGGGCTTCTTCTGCAGCTCCGCTCGCCGCGGCAGAAAGGACCAACTGGGAGTCGTGCTTTCGTACCTTCAGGAAAAATAAGCTACAGGATGTCTCGTAGTCTATAGTCTATATTAGTCTATATATGAAGTCTTGTAGGAGGCAATGACCCTCGCCCTCACAGAGAGAAAACGATCAACAGCATTCGACATGTGAGCCATAGAAGTGAATCACTGCATCGTCTCATGCTAGTCACCAGTCAGAAATCGGCAAATGTTCAATGGAAAGACATCGGCTTGACCGAACCCCAACCGCTTCAGAGCACATCTGCGAAAGTTTCGTTGTGTCGCCCTCAGACTCTCAGACAGTGGAAGATCCACAAATGAAGAACGGTACGCGAAATGTCATGCACATCACATGTGGGAAGTGCCCCTCCACCCATGCAGCAGGTGCAGGTAAGAATGCGAGTCTACTTCACGCATTGGAAGCAAATCCGGGGGATATGTGGGGATAAATTATTCGCAACACAGCGCTTGGCCGCACTACTTCACCAAGCCGCATCATCAGCTGACTCCATGCTTTTCATTGCGCTCTTAAATAGGGCCTTGCGACTCGTGGAGGATAGCTGAGAAATTCCAACTGTCAAGCAAGTGGAAGGAAAAATGCTTTGATCTTCAATCCATGCCTGCAACATGTTTCTTTGCCTTGATCCTTGCCCATACCACTCTTGATCGGAACTTCTTGAACAAAGTGTATATCCTAATCTGGTAGACCACACATGTTGCCAGAAAACCAGCTTCTATCTATACTAGGCTTTCCACCAAACTCTTTAGATCAATAGTAAATTAGTCGGTCTTGGCGGTTGTTTGACCCCAACTCTATCTTTTTGCTGGTTGCATCTGAAATATCCCCCAATTTGGCAGATTAAATGAGTTTCGGGATTGAAGCCAAGACACCAAAAACACCTTGGCACTCTGGTGTTCACATCAAAACAGCTGGTGCTCATGGACACTCATACCGACACATGCCCCAAATACTGGGTAAACTTTGCTTCAGCTTAATCTATGGTTTGCCCTGAAAAGAAGAAACCATTTTGGTTGGTCAAACCCTCCATTTTGGTGAGATGAATCCCATGTTACAGTAAATCATTGGTTTCCCGGTTTCCCCATTAAAAATGAGCCATTTCAAGATGATCCCCTTGAAAGCACCAGAATCCCATCCACGCCTCGGCAGCACCTTCGTTTCCCCCTGCGCCCACGTCGAAGATGCTTCGACGCTCTGCCGTGCGATGCCTTGGGGAAAATCGTAGGCATCAATGAAAACTGCAGACTGCATAGGTTTGAAATGGTATGGTAGTCGGGAACCATTCGGGTGAAAATATCCGCCCACAACAATTGTAGTTTTTTCTCTATAAACCATCCCATAGGACTTCATGGAACCACAAAAGCCGAGATGCAATCTTTGGCCTTTAGCATTGAAATGGAACACTGGAACACTCTGAACTTCCTAAACATGAGTGGAAGTACAATAGGAAGCGTGCAGAGGGCAGCAACTTTCCACCCGAAATTCTGAGCTTAGCCTACAACCACGAACACCAACAGCAACCAAAGCCAAACTTGCTAGCTTCTTGCGCGTCAACACTCATTTATGTTCAACTCCAAACCAAGTTGCAACGGCCTTGGCACGCCGGCACAGTAAGTGACCAGCTCTGTGTTGGGATGGTATGCATCCGGAGACACCCTTTGCTCCTGTGATATGGTGCTGGCGATGAGATTCCCGGGAGAAGTGCAGAAACCATTCCTGCAAGACCGCCCAATTTGAAAATGTTCCAGCATATTCCTTCAGCCTCCAAATAGGCGAACCCAAGAGGTTTTAACTTCGACTAATCTGTCAGTAACCAGTATCATTACCACCTGCAGGATTTTGATATTGCATTTCTAGTGGAACCAAATGAAAAGCCCCCCGAAAACGCTGTCCTCCTTGGGAGGTGCTAGGCGCCCTCGGAATCCAATCTTCCATCCAATTCTCTCCTAATTTCTCACTGCACTGCAATGTGTAAAGATGCCAACAATTCACAAATTGGCAGATCGTTTTGGCTAAAACACCCCCTGGTCATATCATGTGGGCTCTCAATTCCGATTCAAGTGTTCCTTGAGGTAGGATCTTTGGACTATAAAAAGGAACTTCACTGAACAAGGTTGAACGTTGAGGACTTGGCATAGCGAACGGTTTATCATTGTACGCTTCAAACCATGAACTGCATACCGCTTTGGTACAATCTCCTCAAAATCCTGCCAGCAATCACCAGTGCGACACTGCCATTGTTGGCAGAAGGTGGAAAGTGGAAATAGGAGATGGTGCGAGTCAATCTGCACGCGCCAACTGCCACACTGGGCAGCGAAAAAAAAACAAAAAATAGGAAGGTTGAACATCGGAGAGCCAAAGCCAATCATGCGAATACGATCCAATGAAGGATCATATTGTCCAGCTTTCCGTATCTGTGCTGCCACTGATGGAAAGGTTTCAAACAAACCCCCCTCCCAACCAAGGACCATCCTGCAGGGACTTTCAGACCATGGCATTCTTGAGAAGGAATGGTCAATGAATAAAGGAACGGCCAGAACTTAGAGTATCTCTATATAATGTGTTTCGTGTATGTCTGTATGCTGTATGCGTATGTATATACATATATATACATACATACATACATACATACATACATACATAACTACATAACATACATAACATACATAACATACATAACATACATAACATACATAACATACATAACATACATACCATACATACATACATACATACATAGACATAACATAATACATACATACATACATACATACATACTCATACATACAATACATACATCATACATAACATAATACATTACATACATACATCATTACAACATACATACACATACATACATACATAACATACATACTACATCCATGACATACATACAAATCATACATAACATCCATACATACAATCACAGTACATACCATACAAATTCATCATTACATACATTACATAACATTACATACATTACATACTTACATACATTACATACTGATCAGCATTACATTAACATTCAGTTACATTCCTTACATTCCATTACTTCCATTACATTCCATTACATTCCATCCATTCCATTACATTCCTTACATTCCCTTACATTCCTTCATTCCATTACAATTCCATTACATTTCCATTACATTTCATTAACATTCCATTACATACCATTACATGCCATTACATACCATTACATACCATTACATACCATTACATACCATTACATACCATTACATACCATTACATACCCTTACATACCATTACATACCATTACATACCATTACATACCATTACATACCATTACATACCATTACATACCATTACATACCATTACATACCATTACATACCATTAAATACCATTACATACCATTACATACCATTACATACCATTACATACCATTACATACCATTACATACCATTACATACCATTACATACCATTACATACCCATTACATACCCATTACATACCCATTACATACCCATTACATACCCATTACATACCCATTACATACCCATTACATACCCATTACATACCCATTACATACCCATTACATACCCATTACATACCCATTACATACCCATTACATACCCATTACATACCCTTTACATACCCTTTACATACCCATTACATACCCCTTTACATACCCATTACATACCCATTTACATACCCATTTACATACCCATTTACATACCCATTTACATACCCATTTACATACCCATTTACATACCCATTTACATACCCATTTACATACCCATTTACATACCCATTTACATACCCATTTACATACCCATTTACATACCCATTTACATACCCATTAACATACCCATTAACATACCCATTAACATACCCATTAACATACCCATTAACATACCCATTAACATACCCATTAACATACCCATTAACATACCCATTAACATACCCATTAACATACCCATTAACATACCCATTAACATACCCATTAACATACCCATTAACATACCCATTAACATACCCATTAACATACCCATTAACATACCCATTAACATACCCATTAACATACCCATTAACATACCCATTAACCTACCCCTTACCATACCCAGTAACTAAAAATACCCATTAACATACCCATTAACATACCCATTAACATACCCATTAACATACCCATTAACATACCCATTAACATACCCATTAACATACCCATTAACATACCCATTAACATACCCATTAACATACCCATTTACATCCCATTTACATCCCATTTACATCCCATTTACATCCCATTTACATCCCATTTACATCCCATTTACATCCCATTTACATCCCATTTACATCCCATTTACATCCCATTTACATCCCATTTACATCCCATTTACATCCCATTTACATCCCATTTACATACCATTTACATCCCATTTACATACCATTTACATACCATTTACATACCATTTACATACCATTTACATACCATTTACATACCATTTACATACCATTTACATACCATTTACATACATTTACATACATTTACATACCATTACATACCATTACATACCATTACATACCATTACATACCATTACATACCATTACATACCATTACATACATTACATACATTACATTACATTACATTACATTACATTTACATTACATAACATTACATAACATTACATAACATTACATAACATTACATAACCTTACATAACATTACATAACATTACATTACATTACATTACATTACAATACATACATACATATGTATATATGTGTGTGTGTGCAAAAAGCACAGAAACAAATGTCTCAAGTGGTCGTCAACTTCTCTGAAAAAGACTGCACCCACATCTGTCTCTGCCCAGCTTCAAGGGGCACATGATAGTCAGGACCAGGGTTGTCTGCAGGCAGCAGCCCTGCCATCTTTCGGTGCTGTTTCTCATCCTTTGGCCAGCCTCGAAACGCAGGGTGAAAATGAGACCCTCGGGATGCCCCTTGACACTGGGTATCGCTTCACATGCTTCCAGATAGACCCTTGACACAAACCAAACAGACTCAACACAAACCAAACAGACACTCTTGACAGACACTCTTGGAAAGATTTGCAAACCCATTTTTTGGTTTCTAAATTGATTTGTAGAACATCCCTAACACCTTCGACTTCCTCACAGACTGCTGGATGTTGCGTGCCTGACCGCTTTCCATTGTAGGCATCCAAAGAGTCTTGTGGATCATAGGCTCCTGCTACATCGGGGGAGTGGGATCGACAGTCGGTAAGCATACACCAAATTATCCGTTTAAAGCGGCAAACCTTTGCTCCAATGATCTTGAGCTGGTTGCTTGACTTCAGGAATTTGGCTAGAATATCAAGATCCCCAATGATCGATGAAATATCCTCCCCATCTTTCGAGGGTATTCAGTGGTTTCACTGCCACAGCAGGCCACAACAGCTCGTCTATCGTCCATCAGCCCATGTCCCAGCCAACTCGCCATCGGTTCCTGGCCCTGGTGGCTCATCTGGATCCGCATCCAACCAGCTTTTTCGCTCACCTTGGGCCCAGGTTTGCGCATGGCTGCTGGCCTCGACGCCTCAGCAGCTGCTCCCACATTACCTTCCTAACTACCACTAGGTGAGTAGGGGTCCAGTGACCCAACGCTGACAATTCCTTGTAGCAACGGTTTTCGAAGTTGATTTTAGCCCGGCTCATATTTTGTAAAATTTGGATAAATTTGGCACAATGCATTATCTTTCGTCTTTAGGTCTAGAATTAAAATGAATGTGTGTGTGTTGCTTCTGAAGAGTTCGCAACGAGCCATGTGCAAACCATGTGTGAACTTGGATGCTCCACCGAGACCATGAGTTAACATCACAGGCACTGAAGTATGACTGACTGGGATGCAAGACCAAGTATGGAATAGATTCACACCCAAGCCTTTTGGGCAGAGGCGACCAGGAAACAAGTCACTTATGAAAAACAAAGAAATTCAACCTTGAAGTATAGGTAAGTAATGGTAAAGAATATTGCAAGTAGGCACCACGCTATCCCGAATCCGGATGTCATCCCGATTTTGGGCCGTGACCGGGACTGTAGACAAAGCCAGGGCCCTCATCTTTGCCTGACCTGATGCCAAAGCTGATGGAAATATCCCATTTCAACGTCACCCGGCCCCACTTTGTGTGGGGTGATGTTTCCGTGGAGCTTAAGGCACAAGTGCTGTTCTCACAAGGCACAAGTGCAGGGCATAGAGCTTCAACCAAATAGGAAAGATTGAGACTTTTACGGGACCAAACGGGACCAAACGGGACCAAACGGGACCACAGAATCAAGACAAAAGCTAATCCATGCTTTTTCCATTTGATTTGATAGCCTAGCAAGGCAACCGACTATTTTGGGCATAAAAATTCCCAACTCATTTGATTATCCGATTTGCAACCACAAATAGGAACCAAGTTGCAGCGTTGAACGTTGTCCAGATCCCATGATACCGGGGCTGTCACATCCTGCGATTCAATTTAGGAGGAAACTGATCCAAACATGTCTAACCGCCTATCCTATCCCAATCTTTCCGCCCTTTGACGATCCTTGTCCTTATAGATCCTTATAGACTTATAGTTTATGTATATATAGTAGTATAGTAGTTATTAGATTTTACCATGTCAACCTATCTATATCATACCACTCTTTAAAAACTTTAAAAAAAGACATGCTTGCACACATGTTTCAAGTGCGAAGCATTAAATGAAGCCTGGCATCCCCACCTTTCTGGTAGGGTTTCTTTTGGGCCACAGTGCCCTTCACCGGATAATGCCCTGGGGCTGGGTAGTTGATCCTGGAGTCCTGCAGCGTTGACAGGTCGTCCATTGATGATCTACCTACGACATCCTACGAAACTTAAGTTAACATAGTTATAGCGATTTTCGATATGTGGAAAAGAATTTACTACAGTATTCGCTGCCATCCTTCATATGATCTCATGATTTCACATGTTGTTTTCCGGTTTCTAAAGGTTAGATGAGAGACCTGCTTGCAAGCCGTGACAACACCGCATGGTCTCGGAGTTACATTAAATTCATCGAATTCGGCATCTGCACACTTGGGACTCTTCCCAAAATTGACCAACGGGTTATTAAATGCCAGCAAACGCCAATACGCAGGAAGAACCCTTGACTTGTATATGATTTTTTCGTGCAATTGACTTGCATCAACTCATACCAAACAGTGACTTCGTTTCAGGCAAGTGGCAGGTAGATCTTTGATCTTCTGTCCGATCCTGGGTGGATCTCACCAAATCGGAGCGGACGCGTGGAAATTCTAAGAGCATCCTGAGCATCCTGAACTTATTGGCTTGAAACTGCTAACCCAGAAAAGAAAACGGATTCCCCGCCGAACGTATACTATATATATATAAATATTATATATATATGTATGTATATTGCATACTATAATATGATATAATATGTGCATGATAAACATTTGTATCCACTACTGGTGATCTTTTGGGATCCGAATCCGACCCAACGCAACCCCCGACCAGCGCTTGGTCCGAGCATCTTGGCTGTGGGACCAGCTGGCACCAGGCCATGCTCTGCGGTATACTCGCCAGGTCCCACCTCTGAAGCAGAATGCACCAGCTTGGTGCGGCCACCTCCCAATGCTGCGGAATCGCATGCATCCCATGGGAAAAGGCCGTGGAAATGTGTGGAAATGTGACTGCGCCCAAGGGCAAAACCCCCGAACAGCAAAGTTGCAAAGGCTGCAAAGGTACTAGAGTTCCTAGAGTAGGGCTGGCTGGAAAATGGATGTTCCCCAAACATGATCCCAATGGCTTTGAGCCACAAGGCTTTGAGCTCTTGGGATCACCATCGTTTGCAATCAGCCTGTGCGTGTGCCCCAAGGCAGGCGAGATCCTGATGCCCACACAGGCACCTGGCATATAGAGAAAGCAGGGGAACCTGCCAAATCGGAGAGCTAGAACAATACTATATATACCTTCATGCACTGGTCATTATCAATGCATCTGTTACAGTGGAAATGAGAACTTCTTTCTTCTACTGTCTTACAGTGTTCTATTTTGTTGTTTTCGAGCAAACAGCCTTGAAAAGACCGTGATTTCAACAGATCCAAAGGTTCTTGAATAGATCCCTGAAATCGGATGGCAATCTTCAAGCTCTATATTTTGTGAATCCGCACCTCATCTCCCACCCGAAAGAGGTCATAGGTGCCAGGGCCCGGCGACTCAGAGCTTGGCCTGCGGAAACATCGGTATCGTGAGGATTGGCCCGCAGTGATGGCTACCGATGAAACAAATCTCAACATACGCATGGGATATCATGGGATCACAGATTCCTTTAGGGGACTCTACCACTTCAGGACGGCTCTGGGTTGCAAGACCTGGATATGATTAGTACGGCGCCACCGTGCCCTGGCGAAAAGCATCCGATTACAACAGGATTCCTCAAATGTTCGGGAACAGACAAGCAAATGTGGATACAATTTCATTCAGCATTGGTGACCCAATCCAACTGATCCATCATGTAGATTCATGTAGAACATCAAAACAGTCACCCAAGAAGAGAGACCAACAAATAAGGCCATAAACCGACTTGGAAATCAACCATATTCAGCAGAAGACCAATGACGAATCAAAAAAAAGTATTCTCCACTTCTCCACCTCAAGGAGGTTCGGCCACCAGTGCCAAAGCCACGCGACAGGGTGCGTTTGGGGCGACGTTTCAAACTGGCCTTGGCTGGGCTGCAAGAATTTGTTCAACGTCCCAAACCTTTCGGGGTGGGTCCAAACTTGGAACTCCTGAACCAACAGTTTTTTTGAGGAATCATCTGACAATTCTGACATTTGTGGCACCCAAGTTTGACCCAGACCTAGCTGGATGATTTCTGTGCTTATCAATGGGGACAGGCAGTTTTGTCGCTTTTTATTGCTGGACAAACTGTTGCCCCTTTCAACTTTGGACTGTATCACCCAAAATACCCGCAATTTTGACGACACCTTTTGAACAGAGAAGGAAGCAACCACTTTTGGAAGATGAATCATACCTGACCCAGAATTGCCCTCTGTGTGTGAGTCAGAAGGGCATCCAACCTGTTCAATTTGACGACAATCTCCGCATTATCTCCACAAGAATGTGATGTTTTCATGCCGTGAGGTCCTGTCCATGTCTCCCTGCTGCTCCAGTGGCAAAACTTCCAACAGAATGGCTACCTCCATCAGTTGCTGACAAGGTAGTGCTTCGGGACTTTCCTTGTGTTGACACGGTGAGTGCTTGGTACATGCACTGCCTCCAACCTTCAACACATCAATTGCCCTACAATTCATCATACTGATACCAGCAAAGCAAGGAAAAAAGGCGTGCGCTTCAAAGATGGGCTACCAGTGGACCCACAAGTATGACACGGGGTCGATGAACTAGACATGAATCAAACGTTTTCCGTTTTTGCACACTCCTTGACCCTGCCGTTCTGGCTGAAGCAGCCCCGACATGGGACTCTGAAAGGGGAAAGCCAACTTTTCACCTGCATGGAATTGGAAATCTGGGAGAGTTCTAAGAAGGAACTGTGACCAACAAAAATGCAAACCCACCCACAGCCCAATGCCCAAAAAAGTTGTCAAATGTCGTCAAATTGTCTGGTGTTGCCCCACTGCCCCACCACCATTCTGCCGGGACTCCCCCTCCAAAGGACCACTTGGGCGGATGAACATAGCAAGGAGCCACAGCCTGGTTCATAGCACACAGCGGATGCACATCTGCGCCTAGATGTTCATTGAAGAAGAACACCATCGCAATGGGTGATGCCATTCCTGATGTATAATGATGCCAATCACACTTCAGAATTCAACTGTTTTTAGGAAAAATGGTTGAAACAATATCATGATATGAATATGTTCAATTTTCTTTCATCATCCCTGCCCATTGGGCGCCTCTCCCAGAGTCTTGGCTGGTGCATAGGACTTGGCTCGGGGTTCCCCAGAACGCAGTTTTCCCGCCAAACTAGGGCGTTCCTGGGCGGTAAATTAGCACTCCAAGATTTTTGAACCAGGGAAGTCTTGGGCAAACTTCAAACCAGCCAATCGAAAGAAGGCTATACCTCTGCCAACATAAGGACAAAACTCAGTGGTTTCTTTTCCACTGTTGCTTTCCACAGTTGCTTTCCACAGTTGGTGCTCTCTTCCCAATGGATCCTGGGTTGTGCATCCTACCCCCCATGGATCTATGAGGAACCTGGTTCTTGCTGATCTGCGCAAGCCCAGGCTCGCTGGAGCCATCCAAACGCGGGATACAGTTGCCAAAGTACTGCCCCAAATAGCGGCTAGTCCTGAATATGCAGCAACAACATGCAGCAACAGCAACAACAGGAGCAGCAGCAGCAACAACAACAACAACAGCAGCAGAGCAAGCGGGTGACATTCTGGGCAACAACAGCAGCCCTTGGGGCATCGCCGGTGTGCGAAGCCCTACAATATTGCGTTGATAGTGTGAAGGCTTCAGCCATCAAAAGTCAAAGGCACCGGTATTTGAAGCGAGTGAGACAAGGATGGGTTCCAACTAATATAGGACTATACAGCCCCAAAAGAAAAAACAACCACACGCCTGCCTACAACCATGCAGTTGTCCATGGCCGAGTTGCTGATGCTGTGGTAACTCCTCGTACTCCACTTCTGCACCGATTCCTACAAGATGCAAATCCCTGGATGAGTGCTACACACATTGCACTTATTGAACTGTCAGAGGAAGAACGAAAGGGACAACTGAGGCATCAGTACACGCAGTATTTTGATTCTGGAGTGAAACTTATGTCCTGCAGCCCTAATATAACCCGAAGTTCCGGCAAGGTTGAAAGAAGCATGTTGTTTGCTTAGCCAACCTGATCCAGTTGATCTGGCCAGATCTTCGATGTAGCACCCAGTACCCCAAGGAAAGACATGGGGGTGTCTAAAAAATCCTCCCTTCCACTGCTTGACCATCATATCGGAAAAGGCGATCTTAGAGGGTATCCCCAGATTAAAACACACCCACATTCCATAACCACTGTGCGCCTGAAGCAGCCTCTTCTGCCTGGAGGGTGAACCATCAAAGTCACACCTGTAAGTTCGATACCTTGCGATGCATAAATGCTGTTGTCTATTGTATAGTTTTAACCAGAATCATGGTTGCACCGTAAATTGGAGTCTTGGGTGCCCCTCCATGGAACGCAATTTGCTTTTGTGTCCGCGGCCAGGAACAATAACAAGCATCTAATCTGATTGCAGATTTTGTCAGAAGGCAGGCATTCCAAGAACCTATTTCATTCGTGTGGGTCAATAGCGTTTATACCCTGCTAGCCTTTTGAACATCAAAGAAAATAATCCAATAGATTCCAATAGCCTATAATATGATCAGGGCTCGGCTTCTCTTCCCTTTGTGACCGTGTCTATGATGGAACAGTATCATCAGCATTGCATGAGCAAAATGCAACATGGTTCCAACAATTCTTGGGTCTCTCTGCAGCTGGAGGAGTTGATTGAGTGGGTCGAAGAGCGAAATAATTGGAAGCCCTTCAGGTTCCAAATTCTCCGAATGGCTCTCAATTGCACTTCAGGATTTACCACTGATTGGTCAGTATGCGGGGGAAATGCAAGACCCACCGAAGTTCAGAATTCAAGATGCGAAGATCTCAAGATGTGGACGTTTCCACCAATAACTCTCTAATAGCTTTAACCCAGGGGTGCCCATCAGTTCCCACCTCCGGTAGCTCAAGTGCCTGTGGCACCCAAGCAGCTGCTGCCGGACCCACCATTGGCGTCAGTAGGGAGTCTGGTGTGGCCGCTACTTGCGCTGCCTCGGCCCAGGGTAGATTCCCCTCTGACTGAGGGAGTTTGTAGACTGAACTGATGACTTTGAATCGGGATCAAAAGCAGGAGAAGCAGGATCATGGCGCAAATGTCCCTTTCTTCTTGATGGGCAGAACAGAATCTCTGCTTAAAACAGAAGGAGTTGGGATTCAGTGGACATCCACATTCGAAGGTCCTGAAGGGATAAAGCCCGAGCTGTGATGGATGGGTTCACCTTCAACATTATGCATTTATAAGTAGTAAGGAACATCATGTGAAGATTTGAAACATACTTCAAAGTTCAAAGTCATCAAATTAACCCACCATACAACCCCAATAGCAAAGTTTCGCGTTTCCTTTGACGCCCATTTTTGCCTTGACAGGTGGGCCAGTTTAGTTGAGAAAATACCTTTCCTTCAATACCACCAAGACACCACCGGAACACTGCCAAGACACCACGGAAACACCCAAAACATGAACAAAACACCCAAAACATCACCGAACACTGTCAAGACACTACACTACGGACACACCACCAAAGTGCCACCAAGACACCAACGACCACCGAAACAAAATTGACAGACCACCAAGACACCAGCACGAAGGACGCAACCAATTCCCAAAAGGACCTGCAAAGGGTTTTTCCCAGAAAGTTGTTGCCAACATATTTTTTCATGATATTTTTTCCCCATCACCATCTTCTTGCATCACCATCAACACAACACTGTCACAACAACCTCGTCACAGCACCATCACCATCACCACCACCACCACCATCATCATCATCATCATCATCTTCATCATGATCACCTTCTTCTTTTCACCAACCATGCCCACATCAGAAGTCATCAACATCATCAACAACAAAAACGAAAACAAAAACAACATCATAATTTTTCGTTTTTGACAAATTTCAATTTGTGCATCTACAAAAATGAGATACACAGGTGTACATGCAGGCATGTAAATATTAATATACGTATCGTATTGACGCAAGCGTTTAAGTGCAGGTGCATGGGTGCAGATGCATCGAACCTTATTTAAAACAACTACCACATGAATATCTGCAGGTGTAGTGCGGCAGGACCATATAGATAGATAGAGAGACATAGAGACAGACAGACAGACAGACAGACAGACAGACAGACAGACAGACAGACAGACACAGGCAGGCAGGCAGGCAGGCAGCCAGACAGACAGACAGACAGATAGACAGACAGACAGACAGATAGATAGATAGATATAATAGTGTGTGTACAGGTGGGGATCAAAAAAAAGGCATGTGCAAGTGTAAGGTGGCAGATGTAAATATGCAGGTGGAACTCAACTTCGCAAAGCACCTACAATTTCAAAAGGTTTTTCTCAATTTTCTCTGAGGGCAGCAGGGCAGCGTGGATTGATGTCCAGGAAACGCAACCCTCTCGAATGAAGTGTCGATCCTCAAAAACTGAGGAAGTTGCGGTGTTGCTTTGAGCGGGTCGACCCTTTCGCACGAAATGCATCTCGGTCCTCGAATACTGCCGAAAATTCGCTTTTGCGTAGCCCCTCTATGTCTTGATCGTCAAAACTGCGGTGAAGTTTGTTTTTTTTGCGTTTGGATGGTTTTGCCTAGATCCTCTTGCAATAAATGCGTTTCGATCGCTGAAAAAAAGAAAGGTGAAATTGACACTTTGCTTGTGCTCGCAAACCCTTTAGCACAAAATGTGTCTAGATCATCAAGAGCTGTGGTGAAATTTTGGTTTCGTACCTGTTTGCTGAACTCTTTCGCGCAGAATCACCATCACCATCACCATCGTCATCGTCATCGTCATCATCATCATCATCATCATCATCACTATCATCATCATCATCATCACCATCATCATCATCATCATTATCATCATCAGCAGCAGCAGCTATCATGATTGTAAGCATGACAACAGGATAGAACCGTTACAATTACTTGAGGCAGGGCGTGACCAACCCAGAAAACACCCTCAAGATTTGAGCAACACGCAGGGAAACGCCACCGAGACACAACCAACAGACCACCCGCACAACCGCCTCGACACCACAAACATGACGTCACCAAGATACGACCAAGACACCGCGAACACCTTGTATCAGCATCGAAACTGCTGAGGCACCACCAAGGCAACACCGAGTTACCAGCGAGGCACCACCTGGACACCATGAAGGCACCACTGAGACGCCATCAAAGGAGCACACCGCCATGCAGACACCTTCCAGACGCCACCGCAAGACTACCAAGACATCACTGGGACATCACCAATACACCACCAAAACACCACAGAGACACCATGAAGACATCAAGATTGCTAAGGAGCTTGCCAATCCTGATTGCCATCAAGGCACCACCAAGACATCACCACACCAACTCCACAAACGCCACCAAGACACCACTGAGACACCACCGAACTATTAGGGAAAACCAGCAAGAAAGCAGCAAGAAAGCAGCAAGAGACGAAAGAAAGAGACCAGCAAGAGACCAGCAAGAAACCGGCAAGAAACCAGAAAGAGACCAACAAGAGACCAGCAGCAGCCAGCAAGAGACCACAGAGAGACTACCAAGACACCACCGAGACACCCCGGAAACACCGCCAAGACACCACCGAGGCATCACCAAGACACAAACAAGACACCATAGAGACACCACGTGGACACCACCGAGACACCACCGAGACACCACCAAGGTACCAACGAGACACCACCGAGACACCACCACCGAGACACCGTCGAGACACCACCAAGATACCACCGAGACACCACCGAGACACCACCGAGACACCACCGAGACACCACCAAGATACCACCGAGATACCACTGAGACACCACCACCGAGACCCAAGATACCACCGAGACACTACCGAGACACCACCGAGACACCACCAAGATACCACCAAGATACTACCGAGACACCACCGAGACACCACCGAGACACCGAGACACCGCACAGGCCGGCAGCCGTGAACCCGACGGCGCCCGACCGCCTTTAGAGTTAACAACCCCAATATCGCTATTGGGGAATAATGAAACACCTGCCGTATCCGGGCCCAGCCTTGGGCTGTGGTCTGGGGGGGCCAAAGCTCACAGTGCCTCCTTTGGCACAATGCGCCAGGACCTGACTGGCTTGGCCCCTAAGAGGTTTGAAGAATTTGGATTTATGGATTAAAATTGGAGACCCATACACACTGAACAAAACTAGACTTGCTGATCCATGTCGCGCAATATCCATGTCGTGCAGTATCTATATATTTGAAGTATTTGAAGACAAACATTGTAGCAATGCTGGCTGCTTTATCATTGCTGAAGAATTTAGTTGACCATTTGCCCTGATCAAGAATGGAACTAGCAGGAGAAGCAAAATGAAACCTCAAAAAGTGGAATAGGATTAGCCTACTGAAATGAGGACAGAGACCCCCGCTTCTGGTTCCAAGCTGCACTAAGCCGATCTCGCACTGCGCTTGACGAAGACCCCGTGCCGGATTGGCTGGCGGTCATGGTGCCTTGCAGGCTGCAGGGGGTAGATTTCTCCGGATAAGCCACCGCTGACCCATTTCTCTGTGGTCATTTGGGCCTAGTTGGTGCCTGTCGGCGCATCAGCAACATTCATCAAACAAAAAAATCCTTCTGAGAGTAAGTTGCAACAAGATGTATGGCTGGGACGAAAGTCGGTGTACTTCTGTTTAATTACAAGATAGGATCAGTGTTCCTTGTGTATTCGAAAGTTGTTTGGTTCCAAAGCTACGAAGATAGCATTGCCAACGTGGTTCTTCCCATAAGAGTCACCTCCCAAAACTATTTCCTCTGTGGAATGCCGCCTCCAATCGTCAGCGTGGCAGCTGCTGGCTGAGGTTCTCAACAACGAGTACACGCTTTGCCCGGATGTGGCAACTTTGCCAAGAGGTACTGGATGTGTTTTGAGATGTTCCAAGTTTCAGAAGGAGTTGGTGATTGATCAAAACTTTGCAGCGAACTCATGACATGAGTTGAAGGGATTCCGCTAGTGGTAAAGGATGCTTTCATCGAGAGTCCCAGGCCATCATTCCGTCGGCATGGGGTGACCGATCATTTTCTTCCGGCTTGCAGTTGTTCTGAGGGAGTTGGAATTTGGAAGTTGTTCAAAGCAAACACTCACTTGCAAGGCCTCCTTGTGTGTAAGAATGCCGACTATAAGCTAAACCCACCGCCTTAGGCGGGGATTCTGAGCCAGCTGACAAATGGATTTGCGTGGTGCAACACTTCAACGGCATCCTATATCCGTGTCTCAAGAGGCTGGCCCCAGCACTTACCTCTCAACACGCTCCATATCAATCTGCACACTTTTCCACCAAACAACCAATCCTCGGTGCCTTGGGGGACCATCTTGATCAACCCGGGGCAACGCCCAGCACCATCAGTTGAGAGCATCTGCCAGCGCCAAACGCCACCAGCTGAGCGCATCAGCAGCCATGGAAACCTCGCACCGCAGGATGGATCAAGAAGTCACGCTAATGGCTCAACAGAGAGGGACTGCAGACAAACCAATCTGGTCCTTCTAACAGTAAGTATTAAGCCATCCAAGTTTCTTGGCAATCAAAAAATGCGTGCCGTAGCCAGCTCGTCTCAGCACTCTTTGCAGTTTTGATCTTCGACAAAATTGCCCCCGTGATGACACCAGGTGTGACATGGTCCAGCGCTCAGCATGGCATGGCCAAGTCACATGATGTCGAGCCATCTTTGCTGAGACCTCCAAGCCTGACGGTTGCAGGGCCGCCTTTCATGGGCAAAAATGCAGCACGCTATGGGATTCTGAATAAGCCAGGTCATGACCCCACAACCAACTGGGAGTACCACCTGATGTTTGTCAATTCAGATTGGATTTGCATCCTTTCTTGGCAGTCGCAGGACACAACAAAGATCACAGTGAGCAAACAAATATGGTTGTCTGTGCTCTGAAAAACCGAGTCTAAACTGTTCAGCTCCATTGTATCTTCTGTCTTCTGTTATAAATATCACTTTCTTTGGGTGGTTATCGAAAAACCGTGTTCCTTCCATTTCCCCTATAAGCACCACCCTTTTGTGGGGATAAAACTTTACATTAAGACATATTAATCAGCCAAAAATCTATAATTACACAAACAATATCACATATCAATCATTGGAAGGTGATGTTTAGTACCCCCGAAAGCGTTGGGAAAATCAATGGGCCGCGATTAGCGGCTCCCAGTGGCTGCGCGACCTCGTTGGGCCGTGAGGTCTTCTAAGAGATGAAGCAAGGCAGGCACCGAGCCAAAGCGTAGCAAGTGGGGTAGGGTGGCCCATTCCTTGGCGCAGAATGATTGGTACCTGGTTGAACTGGCCATGGTACATATTATATATATATATATACATATTATATATCTATTGAGGGTGAATTAAAAAGGGTGCCCAAAACAAGAGATTTGCTTTTGCAGGATGTTGTCGATATGTTGGTGATGATCTTCAATTCACAATTTTCAGGTGTCCAACTTATCTCACTCTCTTTGGGGGTTGTTATAAAGATACATATGCATATTCTTCACTATTTCCCTGCAGATAGAATCAAGGATGACACATCCCAAAATGAACCATGGTAGTGCACGACAACGCATGGTGGGCCCATCATCAAATCATGCGACATATTTTTTTTCAAGCCGCACGGAACTTGAAAGGCCATAGCCCGCAAACAGCAGGAGTTTCTGTGTTTTTCCTTTTCTTCCAATCCTGAACTGTGATAAACTTCCCTTGTCCCAAATCCAAGGGTCGGTGTACCGATACCAATAGCGCCGGTCGTCGATGAAGCGATGAACGGACCAAGATTGCCTTAGTGCGGACAATCCATGCACTACTTCAGAACTACTTCAGAACTACTTCAGTCACGTTTTCCGTTCTGTGGGCAAACGGTCCGAGCTGGTGGTTTCTCCGTGGCAACCTGCAGTACTCCCTTGTTTTGCCATGGCACAAGTAGTTGGTGGGATGAAATTCTGTCGGACGGAATTGATTGGCTCGCAAGGCTTCCGGCGCACGATCCAAGTACCGCATCTCTGCGTCGTAGCCTGCCGAGGGACAAGGAGGACAAATCAACCCTGGCAATGCCAACAGGGGGATGCATAAACATGCAAACATTGGAGAAATATTTTGTGCCAGTTTATCCTGTTGGAACCCTTGACTTGAAGTCATGTTGGATGACCAAGTCACGGACAGAAAGTTTCTGGGACACACTTGAGATACATTTGGTGTTCCATTATTTTTCTTCACACTTTTGTCAAACCGTCTAAATTTCATGCATAAGGCTTTGTTTACCCTTGTTCTTTCTCTGTTGCAAACACAGCCAAGTGCAGTTCGATGTTCCAATTTTTGCCGCTGGATGCCTCCAAATGTTCTGCTGCTCCAAATGAAGTTTTGCACCAGGGGCTCCTCAACTGGCATCACTTTCAGTTTTATACTTATACCGTATACCACCCCCATCCAAGCATCCGATCATATGGGTTGGTCTGAAAAATGATACCCCCGAAATCCAATGTTTTCTCGTTCTTTCCCTATCAAGATTGCCAAAAACTCAGGGTACAACCCCATTTCAGGTGTGGAGTCTCCTCTGGCACCACTGTGGGGATGGTCGCCGCATAAACATCGGACAAACGCAAGGCATTGGGACCATGCGGCAGAATGATCACGCAGTGAAACTCTGCAATCCTTGGAGGTAACCAGTGACGGCCCCATGCTTGAAAGTCATGCTGGATGATGAAACAAGGCAGTCAGATTACACCAAACATCAAGGGCAGCTCTGTAATCCTAACAGCGTTTCGTATTACTGCCACTCTGTGCAAATTGCCCTTCATCTTGCAACTCCCCGAAATCATCTTCTCCAAGTTGCTCATGAAAACTGAGGGCACGTTTGATGTCGTTCATGTCCAAAACCTCCACAGACCAAAAGATCGGCAGTGAGACATGGCAATTTTTCAAGACAAAACACATGGTCAACTGTGGCTGAATTTTGGCCTGCACCGGAAAATTTGGTATTGAGTCCACAAACATCCGCAGGGCGCTTCGGAAAGCAAGCCTTTGGAAAGCAGCGAAACGCATCAGGCGAGTGCTGGAAGATTTCTCTGGGTGGGATGTCACTGTTGAAACTGTTGGAGAGTTCGGGATAAACGGATAAACCATTGGCTTAAAAGGAGAGAAAGAACCAGCCACAACGAAAGTCTCTGGGCACAATTTTGGTTGATGCAAAACCATTGGTTTGTCTTTTGCCCTCAATGTTTCAAGATGCGTCCACCAAAAGAATCCGCAACAACAACTTTGAATGTAGAATGGTTAAAATTTTGAATATATATATATATTATATTATATTATATTATATTATATTATATTATTTTATTTTATTTTATTTTTATTATATTATATAATATTATATTATATAATATTATACTATATTATATTATGTATATATATATATATTCACTGTATACACATGTACATACTTGCACATATTTATATATATATATATACATATGTAAATCTCCAGGCATCCTTCGGCTGCTTGGACACGATTCGTGATGCCGCTGCATATCGGCTGGACAGGCCTTGAGCCTCTATTGGCTGGATGGCCGAAAGCAGAGAGTTGAGCAGCAGCTGTGAGGCCATAGGACCTGGGAGCTAGAGGTAGATACCCCATAGCTGTTGGGCCGCTGCCCGTGCTTCCGCATGGTAGCAAAGCCCTAGGCTCCAAGCCAGGGCACCCGTGCGCCAGCGCCGTTTGCTAGTGACTTGGCCATCAAGGCCCACACGTGCAGCACCTTTGACATTTCGTGCTGATCAACATGGAGAAAGACTCTTGGATCGTTCAGAGATCTTTTTCTTCGATGGCAGACCTGGTATATAATTACCAAGGATTCCGGAGGAAGACAATTCTTACTGTAGCTGGTTTAGAGGAAAAGCATGTGCAACAAGGCTAGACCAAGGTTGCTCACGAGACTTCAAGGAGAAGCTTACCGAGCCACTGAACACTTGCCAGTGCCGGGCTTGCGCCGTGAAGATGGTTGGTTGCAGGTCATTCGAGCCTTGGAATGCCACTATGCCACTATGCCTTCTGAAGCCCTGAATAGTTTTCTGTTTGATCTGCGGAAGAGGCCCCATGAAGGTGCCACAGCCTTTGCATCGAGGTTCAAAACAGCCTTGCGCCGAGTTCAAGCACTGATTGCACAGGAACCTTCGACAGCCAAGAACAAGAAACGCAAGAGCAAGGTTTCGGTTGCTAGTGCTGAGCCTGACAATAGTAGCAAAGAACTTAGTGATGAAGGGTCTGAGCCGAAATCAATCAGTCCTGGTAGGCCGACAGCCGCCCCAGCAAGTACATCCGCCGAAGCATCGGGCCAAGCAGCAGGTAGTGTGCCGCCTGAAACTCCTGCACCAACATCTGCAGCCTCACCACCTATATATACATTTTTATATACAGATATCGATGCTTTTTCTTTTTCACTATTTATTAATTTTTAGCTATATATATATATATCCCTCTCTCTCTCTCTCTGCTGCGGCCTGGTACCTGTGCTTCCGATTTATGTGTATATGTATATATATATATGTACATATATGTTTTTTACATACATACATACATACATACATACATACATACCTACCTACCTACCTACCTACCTACATACCTACATACCTACATACCTACATACCTACATACCTACATACATACATACATAGATAGATAGATAGATAGGTATGTATGTATAGAGATGTATATATATATATGGATATAAATATATATTTATGTATATATATATATATGTATGGTGTGATTCAACATCATTGCACATGTCTAGTACCACCAAGAACCAAAAGCCCAGGGGATGTCAACGCTTCATGTTGCTGTAGCACTGGAGGCTCAGGAGGGCCATAGAGGAACCGTGGTGGGTGGGTATTTACCTAGTGCTTGTGGAAGCCATAGTCTTGATTTGAGCGCGGCCGCTCATAAAGTACTTTGCTGGCCTGGGGCCATCCTTTTGTGCCTGGTGTTTGCCAACACCCCCATTTGGTCCTGCCGACCTTTCGTCCTGAGCTCTGGAGTAGATACTCCAGTTGGTGCAATCAACAACTTGGTGCCTTGAAGGGGAAAAGGCGCCGTGCGCTTTTGGGAAGCCGCTTGGAGGTTGGAAGTTGCTATCAGTGTGGGGTCGTGATCCTCTCACACTGGTAGCGGAGCTCAGCTTCGCTCCATATAGCTGAGTATCCAGGGAGAGATGTCAGAAGCTTCTGATGGAGCTTCCGGGACGAACCTTGTGCCCAATCAGTTAGCGAGCCTTGTACCAACCTTCGACCCAGCCAAAGATGACCTCACTGACTACACCAAGAAGGTGCAACTTCTCATGAACATGTGGCCTGATGGAAAATGGACCGAACTGGCAACAAGACTGATTTTGGGATGTTCAGGATCTGCGTTCCAAAAACTGCAGTTGAAGAGCGCAGACATCACTCAGAATGACAAGAAATCCATACAGCAGATCATTGAGATACTCGGTGGCCAATGGGGCCAGATTCCACTGGAGAAAAAGTATGAGGCAGCGGAGAGGGCACTCTTTCGTTGCACACAACGACAGGATGAAACCAACGACAGCTTTCTTGCGAGAGCTGATGTCCTTTGGCAGGAATTGCTGAACAAAGAGGTGAAACTGGAAGAACTGCAGGCATACATCACCTTACGTGGTTCGAACCTGTCCTCAGAAGACAAGAAACGAGTCGTGGTGGACAGTCAGGTAAGCACCGATGGAAGATTGACCCTTCCTCGAGTTTCAGCTGCAATCAGAATGTTGGGAGCCGGCTTCTTCCAAGAAATCACTGCAGGCAGAAAGTCAGGGAAGTTGAAAACCTATGATGCCACCACCATGGTAGCTGACCAACTGGAAGAGGAAGATGATCCTTCCAACACTCTGTTGGCAGAAGCACCGGAAGATATCAATGAAGATGATCTGATGGACGCCTTGATCCAAGAGGGCGACACCGATGCCATCCTCATCGCTGACTTCGAGGCAGCAGCTACTGATGTTCTCCAAGGAGATGAAGAGCTGGCAAGTGCCTTGAACGCTTACACGGAAGCACGTAGGCGATTGAGTGAAAAGGTCAAGTCACGAGGGTTTTGGCCAATTCCCCAATCTTCTAAGGGTAAATCCAAGGGATATAACCGTGGGGTAAAGGGGAAGTTCCAAAAGGGTCATAGCTCAAGCAGGAGATCCTTGCAACAGAGGATCCTCAGTTCCAACTGCCGTTTGTGCGGAAAGGTTGGCCACTGGAAAGCAGAGTGCCCGTCCAGGAACGATGCCACAGGTGCCTCCAGACCTCAGGCACCGACCTCCTTCGTGCATAGCCAGGGTGGAGATGATGGTCTCCCTCTCGAGTTTCTGAATCTACCGGCCGTCGAGAGCACCATAGATGTCCCTTCATCATGGGTTAGCCAGTGTTTTGTGTGTTCACCTCAAAGGTTAGATATCACTGATACGAAAAGCCGTTTGTCAGAAACTCTCAAACAATGGCACTATAGACAGCCATACGTCGCAGTGCCCAGGACCCATGAAGATCAGAGATTGACGAGACCTATGCCAGCACCTGCCAATGCAACCATGCAGCTCCCGCCATCATGCCAAGCTGAGATGTCTCCGGCTGGAGAACAATTAGCCATGTTTGCAACCTATAGTTGTATGGGAGTTGTTGACCTAGGTGCTACCAAAACGGTGATAGGCAGTAATTTGGTCAAGGATCTACTAGATGGTCTGTCCCCTGAAGCACGAAAGTCAGTACAGAGATGTCCTTGCAAGATCACTTTTCGGTTCGGCAATCAGGGAACCCTTCAAAGTGAACAAGCCTTGGTAGTCCCTATACATGGTCTTTTGTTGAAGATAGCAGTAGTGCCAGGGTCAACCCCATTCCTTTTGTCAAATACCCTTCTGAGAGCAATTGGGGCAGTCATCGACACCAGTAAGAAAACCATCTTTGCTGCGAAGTTTGGCAAAACAATCCCCATTCAGCTCACAGAGAAAGGGCTATTTCTTTTGGACTTGAATGATCTAGTGGATACGACCGTATCCAAGCATGCCGCTGAGACGCATCAGGTGTCCGAAGAGACCAAAACAAAGCCAGTCCAACTGTGTACAGAGCCAGTGCCAAAGTTTCCATCACACACCAATCCACATGATACCGCAACACACCAACACCTTTCACATGACAAGGAACAACATGATGACACACACAATGTCCATTGCGAAACCAAGACCAACCGTCATGTGCAGTTTGATTTGCCGACAACCATCAGTGATGGAAATTCTCAAGCATCCGATCCTGAGCAGGAAATGATGCATCCGACAGATCATCGTAGCTCAAAAGCCACCACGTTTGCCCGAAGCTTTCGTTTCCCCAAGAGCCGTAGGCATGTCCAGCCTAAGCCAACGCCTGAAGCAGCTACAGACGGCAGTGGAGCCGACCCAGCACGACTTCAGCCATCTGAGCTTGCAGCAGCTGGAAGAGACCCAGATAGACTTTGGACAATCCCACGTGGGGAAGAAGTACCAGGAGATGTGGCAAAGTCACCAAGACTGGGTGGCGTGGTTTACGAATCGCTACGAAAAGTCCGGCAAGAAGAGCCACCAGAAGTTCCTCCACTACGTCCAGATCAAGGTCGAGAAGGCAGAACTGGAGGGCACCACAGTGCCGGTGTGTTCAGGAGGGACGTCAACGGTCACCCAACTGACCTACAAGGCCAAGACCATGCCCAAGAAGAAGACAACGGCACCACCAGCCGAACAAGTGGCAGTGTGGGATGCAGCCGAGGAGGAATTCGAGCTCTATCCGGACGAGATCGAGATGGGACTGAGTGCCATTGGCACAGAGGGCAATCAGCAAGAGGTGATCCAGCTGGAACACCGCATGCAGCACGTGGAGACAACCCTGTCTCAGATCGTGAACTTGCTGGAGAACCTCCAGCAAGGGTCCGAGCAACAGTAGAAGAATGTCCAAGCTGGGCTCAGACACTACTGGCTGGGGATCCCGATGCCATGGACC